GGAATCGGAGCCTTCAGTGTTTGGGGTTTCTTCCGATCGAGAAGGAAATTTATGATCTTTCATGTTTTTATTTGCTCTTTGGGAACGTTTGTTTGTATGGGCTCATAGATTTTTTATTTTTATTTTTGACTGATCTTCTGTTAAGGTTCAACCATCTGGGATCTCAGCTGACTCTGCTCCCTCAGACTCACTTGGTAACGAAGGTGATCAAAGTTCTCCTAGACTCTCTGTCCGAAAAAGGTGTGCTTTTTCGAAACTATTCAATCCTTGATTATTTGAACTGTTGATTATAGAACGTTATCTCATTCTATTTTATATCTGATTCGATTCATACTTTTATTATATCGGTGATTCTCGTTTTGGTCTTCACTTGCCAGTATTCATCCACCACCTGCATTTGGTTCATCTCCTAATCTTGAAGCCCTTGTACTTGCAACAAGTAGATCTGAAGATGATGAGGGTGAAAACTCTGTGCATGCCAATTCACTGTATTCACGGTATGTACTTTAACAGAATTTTTTCCTTCTCTTTTGCTTTTGGTGACTAGTAGTGAACTATCACCTTTCCAAGTTTAGTTATGTGAATGGGGTGTCTAGAGATTGATTTGACTCAATTGCAGGCCCTTGCATGAGATTACTTTTTCCACGGAAGACAAACCCAAACTTCTCTGTCAGGTATGTGATAAGTGCGTGTTTTTGTTATAAAGAAATCAAAGAAATAGTGTTATGAATTTTTTGTCGCATGAGCTGATGGATATTTGTGTTAATTGTCAAGATTTTGGAGACTAAAAGGATTTACCTTCTTGCATACTTTCAAGTAATGACGTCCACAATATGTCTATTGCCATATTTACTCTAGTCCTTCAAATGTTGTGTAACATCATCGCTATTATTTTATTGCCTGAGACTCTGAGTGTAAAAACTTTCAGCATCTGCTGCTTATGCTTGGAATTCAATATATCGATTGCCATATATTATATTTCTTGTTTGTCAAAGGCCCTATGATGATTATCATTTATCAATGCAATGCAAACTGAGTCAGTGTCAATGATGCAGTTGACTGCCTTGCTTGCTGAGCTTGGGCTGAACATTCAAGAAGCACATGCTTTTTCTACAACCGATGGCTTCTCGCTTGATGTCTTTGTTGTTGATGGTTGGCCATATGAGGTACTTCTTGTTTTATTTCTTATATCCCGATAATGTCTAATTTACTTTCATCTATAATCTATGGGATGGAAATATTTTGGCATGCAACTGTCGTTTATATCTTTGAGCCTGGAGGGTGTGAGAATCCTGTTCTTTACAATATATCCTGCTCTGCTTAGATTTATTTGCTTAATTTCAATTGTATACGTGTGTAATTGTGTTCAACATACTGTACCTAAAAAATTTCAGGAAATAGACAGATTGAGAATAGCTTTGGAGAAAGAAGCGGCAAAGATCGAGGTACTTGTTTTCCTCTTTAGAAATATCAAGTAAGCCCACCTGGGCATACATTTCTTGATATTTCCTCTGCATCCCTATATTCTTCTGTATGAAGTTGGATATGATTACAACTTCTCAGTCTCAGCTGGAAATGTTCTATAGATCCCTATCACAGCAAGGGTGGCAATTTTATGTAATTTTCTCTGAAGCACTTAGAATCCGAACAAAACAAGTGTTTAATGCATTTTAAGCAATATTACATTTTCCCTGTCAACATATGCTTCATACACATCTAAATCTTGTTTGCAAGTTACTAATAACTCATTCACCACACTCAGTTGCAGAATCAAATATGGCCAACGCAGCAATCACCTTCTCCTAACATGGAAAAAGATCAAACAGATGCCAAAAAGGGCAACGATCATGTTGCAATACCCAATGATGGAACTGATGTTTGGGAAATCAACCTGAAACACTTAAAGTTTGAGAACAAAATTGCATCTGGTTCATACGGAGATCTGTAAGTTAGCTTGATCCATCTAGTATGTTGTCGTTCTTAAGATGCTCAAAAGTAATTCTTTCTGTTCTTTAATTCAGGTACAAAGGAACATATTGTAGTCAGGAAGTTGCCATCAAAGTCCTCAAGCCCGAGCGTCTAGATTCTGAGTTAGAGAAAGAGTTTGCCCAGGAAGTCTTCATTATGAGGTTTGTGGTTCTGATCTGTTCCGTTGTGAACTGATGTGCCAATGAACACTAGTATTCCAGATGCATGAGATACCATCCAAATTTTGTCCCTTTCTAGGAAAGTCCGACACAAGAATGTTGTACAGTTCATTGGAGCATGCACCAAGCCTCCACATTTGTGTATTGTTACAGGTATGCTGCAGTAACCACGTTGAATTTTGGGAATAATTCTGAATGAGATTTAAGTTCTATAATTTGTCTTATTTTTTCATATATTATAGAATTCATGCCTGGTGGAAGTGTATACGACTATCTACATAAACAAAAAGGCATCTTTAAACTTCCAGCTTTGCTTAAAGTAGCAATTGATGTCTCCAAAGGAATGAATTACCTGCACCAGAATAACATAATTCACAGAGATTTGAAGGCTGCCAATCTTCTAATGGATGAAAACGAGGTAATATTTTCGACTGAGGCTTATGGTTTTATTCTCTGAATACCGTGTACACCAAGTGGGGTTTGTGGTTTAAGTGTACAAACCATCTTTAAGGCTAAGATGATGCATTGTTCTTCTTATGCATTTTCCCTAAAAGAATCTTCGGCCTTTAATGTTTCCTGTTCTCTGCAGAAAGGCACGCAAATTCATGTGTGGATTAATCATATTGCTGCATCTTTTATTGTTACAGATGGTCAAGGTTGCGGACTTTGGGGTGGCCAGAGTGAAAGCTCAAACTGGCGTTATGACTGCTGAAACTGGAACGTATCGGTGGATGGCTCCAGAGGTATGTTCCACCCAAAGTCCTTCCATGCTCTTTATCTACTGTCATAGCATGCCATATTAGAATTTTGGATCAGTTAAATGGATACTTGCACTCCATTTTTTTCAGCCACGGGAATCAGTTTGGTATCTTAAATTTAAATATCTGCTCTTGTTTTTGCCTTTCCTTGGTAAGAATCCTTTATTGCTGTTTGGTTTACGGAAACTATGCCAAGATTCACTGCCTCAATCTAAACGCTTTGGAGCCAATTGTTCATCACTCGTTTAAACTAGATAAATCTAATCTCTACAATTTTGTTTTATCTCATGTCATCAAGGGTCACTTTCTTAATTAAATTAATTATTTTGGGATGAAGGTTATAGAGCACAAGCCGTATGATCACAAGGCCGATGTCTTCAGCTTTGGTATTGTGATATGGGAGTTGTTGACCAGCAAGGTACTTCGGCCTCTTCTCCAATTCCGACATCCTTTTAATTTCAATTTCTACTTTAAATGGGCTGTAACACAGATTTCCACATATAATGTCTTTTCCAGCTTCCATACGAATACTTGACGCCATTGCAGGCAGCTGTAGGAGTTGTCCAAAAGGTAATGGCTTTCATCCTGGGGTTGGATAGAGAGTTAAACAAAATATGATGAGTTTCCTGCT